AATCAAAAATTAGCCGGGCGTGGTAGTGCGCGCCTGTAGTTCCAGCTACTTGGAAGGCTGAGGCGGAAGGATCGCCGGAGTACAGCAGGTGGAGGCTGCGGTGGCCAGGAGAGGCCACTGCACTCCAGTCTGGGTGACAGAGTGAAACTCCAACTCAAAAAAAAAGAAAAAAAGAAAAAGGGCAATGTTTGTTAATGGTACTTAAATAACAGCAGTCAGTTGCAGTATTTTAATAAGAAAGGGCTGGAAATAACATATAATCTGTATCCTGGGACTAAGGCAGCACACAAGATATATAACTATATACTATATAGAGAGAAATAATTTTTAAAGATAGCTTGTGGAATTGCTTTGATGATCATCACCCACTTATTTAGGGGATAACTTGGGTACTTAAGCAACTTCTCCAACTTGATTAAAGTAACAAAGCCACCATGGCTCTGAGTTGAAGGGAAAAGTGCTACATCACCCAAATTAGGTTCTATCCACAAACAAGCAAAAGAAAAGATAAAAGACTTCCACAAGATAAAAATTTAAAAAGGGTTACAGTAAGTTATGGGAAGAGAAATTCCTACTGATGTTAATCTAAAAATTAAAAAGGAAACAAGGAACAAGAAAAGTATCAAAAAAATGTTTAAGTGGTGATGTATTTTTGTAGAAAAAGGTACAATGGATTCCTGATGAGAGAAAATTATCATTAAGCTCAAGTATAATCTTTTAAAAGAGAAAGCTAAATGCATGTTCAAATTTGTGAATTACATTTCCCTCTTGCTGTGGGCAAATGGAATTTTAGTATGAAAAAAAAATTTTTGTTTTAAAGTGTGAATATCTATTTTTTTTTTTTTTAAGTCAGTCTCACTCTGTTGTCTGGGCTGGAGTGCAGTGGCACGCTCATGGCCACCACAGCCACAACCTGCTGGGCTCAGGCAATCCTTCGGTCTCAGTCTTCCTAGTAGATGGAACTACTGGCGTGCGCCACTATACCCAGCTAATTTTATGATTTATTGTAGAGACAGGGTCTTGCCATGAACTCAGGTAATCCGCTCACCTCTGCTTCCCAAAGTGCTGGGATTACAGGTGTGAGCCACTATGCCTGGCTGAGTATCTTTTTTTTTTTTGAGTTGGAGTCTCCCTCTGTCGCCCAGGCTGGAGTACAGTGGCACGCTCACGGCCACCCCAGCCTCGACTTGCTGGGCTCCAGCAATCCGTCTGCCTCAGGCTTCCAAGTAGCCAGAACTACAGGCATGCGCTACCACGCGTAGCTAATTTTTGCTTTATTGTAGAGACAAGGTCTCACCAAGTTGTCCGAGCTGGTCTCGAACATGCAGCTCAGGCGCGAGGTCTCACCAAGTTGCCCGAGCTGGTCTCGAACACGCATGCTCAGGCAAACCACTCGCCTCAGCCTCCCACAGTGCTGAGATTACAGGTTAAGCCACCGAGTCTGGCCTGAATATCTATTTTTAAGGATCTCTGGAGCTGTACTGTCCAGTACAGTAGCTATTAAGTTTAATTAAAAATCAGATGAAATTAGAAAGTCAGTTCTTCAGTCACACTAGCCACATTTTTAGTGCTCAGTAACTATATACAGCTAGTGGCTACCAGACTGGACAGCACTGACTGTTAGAACACTTTCATCAATGCAGAAAGCTTTAATGGACAGCACTGATTTAGAGAAAAGGGTTTTTTAAACTGAAATATTATCATTCCAAGTCTGAAAGCAAGGAAACGATAACTTCTCACCATCATTCCAAACACCTTAGAACACGGTGACATTACCCAGAAATTTTTTCTGAAGCATTAAGAAAACTGCATTTTACATTTGAAAACAGGTCAGGTCAAAGTCATTTGGCTTACCTTCACAGAAATTTTTGACTTATGTTCTACAAAAGAAAAAAGAAATTACTAAACTATCAACCAAAAGTATATTAAAGCAGTCATAAAAGAAAATTTTAATTAATATTTTAAGCTGTTAATATAGCAATAGTATTCGCAAAAGCATTAACTTTAGCTTCTGAGTGTTCCAATTTTTACAATGTGGCTGAAGTATTTATTTCTATTTTATTTTTGTTTACATTAGTTATCTTTCCAAGGTAAAACTATAAACAGATTAAAAAAAAAAATAACGTGAAGGAGAAGAGTACCAAAGTATCCCGCATTTTAAAACTAATACTAAAAATAATTTTAGCATTTTACTGTGGTTTTACTATAAATTTAATTTTCTCAAACAATACATTCTTTACATACAAAGAGCATAATTATATAAATTTCACCTATATTACTTATCAAGCAGTAAGGACATTTGCTACATGCAAATATTATGAACACATATTTTACACACAAAATATACTGGAATTAAATGTTTTAAGTCTGAATACTGACAGTAGTAAGCAATGATGTACTCTGATTTTTACTTGGCTAAAGGTAAACTTGAAAAAGTTTGAGAAAAAAGAAGTTTTCAAAGTATTATTTAAAATTGCTCTTACAAGCAAAAAGTCTGTCAAACTGATATAAATTTTATATATGAATTTAATAGTTAACATTTTAGATTTCTATAACACAGCATACCATATGGAGATAATATTAGCTTGGTTTTTCCATCCAGTAAGTCAGTTTCAAGCTTTAAACCATCTCTGCAATATAAGAGAAAGTTGTCTGTAATTTTTAATAAATAGCAACATTTTAAATAGCCAGAAATGTTAATTTGAACCTTGACAGTGCATCTGATCCTTTGAATTTATACAAGAATCTTGTGCATAACAAACCAGTCTCTCAATCAAAAAAGTTTTTCAAAGATTCAACTAAAATTCAAAGATAAAACTAAAATTCTTCTTGAAACTTTTTAGTAATACAAGAATTTGTTGCCTGTAACCTGAAACCTCATTTTTGTTATTGGTAAATAATAATTCGGTTATCATACCAACATTTAACACTTCAAACTCTAGACTGGAAAAAATAATGCTGTTATCAAAACTCCTAAGCTAAGTTAAAGGAGCAAGATATAGCTAACTATCATTTATTAGTTTCATAATGAACTCAAGACCAACACATTCTATGGCGTGCTGGAGCACCTGAAAAAGACTATAACAACGCCACCAAGATTATTAACTGCTTGAGCAGAGACTTCCACTTTCCTTTTACAACTTCAAATAATATTCACATCTAGTGACACTTGTTAGTATCACAACAATAAATCTACAATGAACTCTGGCTGCCATAATGTTTCATACATGCACACCAAAAGCAAGGACATAAAGTAACAGTAAGCACTGCCAACAAAACCTGAACATCTATTGAGGTCAGAAATAAAAACCTCACTGAAAATAAAAACAGTACTCCATACTGTAACTCTCTGTCTTATTAGGAGTGGGGGAAAAAAGGGTGTTTGTCAATACACATTAATGAAGACAAAAATCAAGTCGAAGAGATAAAATTAAATCCAGAAGGCCAGTCAAGTGAGAAAGAAGTTGAAAAAGGTGTGATTAGACTAAATTTGCGGTGTTGTTCAGGTAGGAGAAATCAAATTACTTCAATGTAGTTGTTAAGGGTAAAACAGAACTGTTATGAACAGTTCAAGTTTATGTTGGTGAAACGTGACCCCCCAAAAAGAAAAGATCCTGAATGAAATGGCAAAGCCTCTCTGTTAGGCACTGCACTGTAAACTCCTTAAGGGGTAGACTATCTTATTTGACTTTATATCCTGAAATTCTAAAATATAACATCTGCTGAACGATGTGCAGGTAAGTCTGAGTTTGGTGGCTTTTCACCTTAAAATGTCACACTCCCGCGAGGTGAAGACCATGCAACCGTCCTTTCTACTTATTTCCTCGACCCCTACTCGACAAGCGCCGAATAGCTGCGAGCCCCGGGAACATCCGATTCCCAGAGGGGCCTGGGCTCCCCGCCTCGCGGGCGTTACACTCCTCTGGGCGCCCCAACATTCCGCAAGACTCCGGAGACAAGGTGGCGAAGAACCACGGGATCGGGCCGGGATTCCTCCCCGAGAAGCGCGAAGCTTTTTCTACCAGCCCTCGTAGTTTCTCTCTTCTCCATGCCTCTCTTCCCTCCCCATTCGGAGGTCAGCGAGTGGCCGGAAAGGGTTTTAAGGCGAGTCGCGAAGTGAAAAAGTGAGGTCTGCGGAGTCGGTGACGGCCGACCCGACTCCTCACCCCTCTCTACCTCAAGGAACGAGACTCTGCCGCTCCAGGCCGGAAGGTTTTCCGCTAAAGACTCTCGAGCAACAACCCAGACTCACGCGCCTCCCCACTGACGACCACCTTCCCCGCCCCAGCTTACCCTAAATTCATGGCCTGACCTCCCGCTCTCTCCACAGGACGCGCAAACTCCCTGTGTACACTGGTGGCTCCAGCCTCTCAATAAGTGCCAAGCCGATTGGGTACAGGAGTGCTGGACCAATCAGGACGGGGCGTGCTGGAGGGTAGGCTTAGCCGGGGCCGGGCTCTAGGGGCGACGGCTTCGTTCGGCCCCGCCCCCTCACCCAGGGATGCCGCTCACCCGGCATAAGATTCTAAGCCTTCTGTGGCTGAGGCCTGCGTTCCTCGGACTTGCGGCCTCCCGAAAGTGCACGGGGAACTGTCGGAGAAATGCCTCAGTGCCGGTGGAGGCGACAAAACTAGGGAGGAACAAAAAGCATAAATGTTTCAAGGAAATGTACATGTTCTATATTTTATATTTGGAAAAGAGGCTTATTTTAGTACAAAAAAAGTTGGAGGAGGGGAGGCAGATACTAGATCTGTCTTGTTTCTTGTTGTGACCTCAGCATCAACCCTAGCACATTGAATCTCCTTTCTAAATAGCAACAATCACAAGTGCTCAATAAATGTAGTTACATGCCAGGCAGGGCCCTAAGCCTTCATGTCTACTATTTAAGTCCTACAACATTATCTCTGAGGCACAGAGAGGTTAAGCGACTTGCCCAAGTCTAGTAATCTAACGCCGCCAGAGCCCATGTTCGTCTCCAGTGTTACATGAATGTGACTAACTTCTATTCCCGCTTAAAGTCTCTGCTCCACAAAGCCCTCCTGAAATCCACTAGTGGTTATATTAGGAACCTTTCAGTCAGGGTGCATCATGCATTTCATATCCTGTGCCAGAGTGAGCTTCAGAGGTTCGGACAGTTGGTACCTTGTATATTTCTGTAGTCACAGTACCTGCCACTACACAACATAGACAGTAAATGTTTGCTAAATAAATTAACAGGAAAAAATGTAAGTTGCCAAAAACAGCTTTACGAGATGTGACTAATATTTCATGATAAGGATGCCCCTAGATTATAATGCAGTTGCTAAAAGTTCACAATTTTTCATGTATCTGCTCTTATTTGTTTTTAAAAAAATAATAGGTGTTTGTACTGCCTTTTTGAAAAGTTAGTTACTTGTCTTATAGAATGGCCCACAACCTGGATTTGGCTGATTGTTTCCTCATGGTGCTGTTTATCTTGTTCCTCTGTCTTCTAGCTTTCCTGGAATATTCAAGTTAAGTATTTGGTAATACTTTGAGGTGATGCTGTGTGGTTCACAGTGCATCATATCAGGTTGTCTTACTGTTTGGTCAAGTTTGAAGACAATATGGTGGCTGCCTGCTATAGTTTGGGTGTTTGTCTCCCCAGACCCTTTGTGTTGAAATTCCATCCCAGTGTTGGAGGTAAGGGTCTAGTACGAGTTATTTGGGACATGAGGTCAGATCCCCTCGTGAATAGATTAATGCCCTCCCGGGAGCGTGGGAGCAGGGATGAATGAGCTCTCTTAGTTCCCTTGAGAGCTGGTTGTTGAAAAAGCCTGGCATCACCCCCACCCCCACCCCCACCCCCGACATCTTGCCAGGTTATCTCTGCACATACCAGCTAACCCTTCACCTTCCACCATAAGGGGAAGCAGCCTGAGACTTTCTACAGATGCCTCTACCCCATAGGTTTGTTGTGAGGAATAAATGCATTTAATACATGTAAAGTGCTTAGAATAGTGCCAATACATAAGTACCATGTATGTATTAGCAACAATTAGTACTTTTACTAGAGTAGTGTTGTTTGAACCCAATGACTTACTAGGTTTAGATCACTTTTTCCCCCATTAAAAAACAATTAAATTAAAATTTCAGATATATAGTAAAATGCACAGATCTAATGTACACAGCTTGAGGAGTTGTGATAAATGTATATACTTGTTTAACCACAACTTCAGTAAAGTTATAGAACATTTCTGTGGCCCCAGAAAGTTCTCTTATGCCCCCTTCCATCAATTCCCACCTCTTTATATAGTCAATCACTATTCTGATTTATATTAGATTAGTTTAGCCCATTCTAAAACTTCACATAAATGAAATTGTACAGGGTATATACTTTTGTGTTTGGCCTCTTTCACTTAGCATAATATTTGTGAGTTCATCATGTTGAGCAAGTATAGGGTTTCATTCTTTTTTATTGCTGAGTAATGTGCCACTGTATGACTATGCCACAATTTACTGGATATTTGAATCATTTCTAATTTGGGGTTATTATGGGAAAAAAAGCTGCTCTATATATTCTTGCACAAGTCTCTTTGTGGACATGTGTTTTCATTTTTCATGGTTAAGTATCTAGGAGAGGAATTGTTGAGTCTTAGGGCAGGTGTTTTAAGACTTTTTTTTTTAATTTTAGGTACTACCAGACTGTTTCTTAAAGCTATTGTACCATTTCACACTCCAATGTGCAAGGACGAGGGTTCCAGTAGCTTCACATCTTCACTAACGTTTGGTATTCAGGCTTTTAATTTTAGCCATTCTAGTGGATATGAAATGGTATCTCTGGTGGTTTTTATCTGCATTTCACTGATAACTGAAGATCTTGACTACCCTCATCAATTTGTATGGAGTGTGCAAGCAGAGGTCCCACTATGGAGATCTATTTTCTCCCTAGGTCCTTGCAGGAGGTTCTGGTAAATTCACTTCTGACTGGCCCACCCAATCAATTTATCAGACATACTTAAACATTTATGACTGACAGTGTGTGGCAGTACATTATTCAGTCTGAATTTATATTAGAATAGCATATTGTATATATCAAACATCTGTAGTTGGCCCGGGGTCATTATGATTAATGGTGAAAGCCAGTGACTTCAGAACTACATAACTGTGAGGCCTGCTGTTATCAAAACAACCTAGAGCCCTTTTTCACAGTTAATCCCTGAGGATCCTGCTGTTGACTTTTATGGTTTTCTTTCTAGAAGGACTTTGGCAGATTCACTTTTATAGTATGCAAAAAATAAATAAAACCCTTTTTGGGAAGCTGCCTCCTAGGTTACCATAATTCACTGATTTCTGCATGTTTGCTTGAAACCATTCAAAAATAAGTTTTCAGAAATACCTGACTGGAAAGACCTTTCTGCATCCTCCACTTGTGGAGTTCACTTGTCCTCTTTACATACCATCACTGTCAAGCAGTGTTTGTGACTTAATTGTGTGTACAGCTCTACAGAGCAAGTTCATTATCAGTCTTCTGTCTTCAGGACCAGGTGATACAAACCAAAGGACAGATACATTATACAAAAGCAAAATTAGATTATGTGAGTTGTTCAGGTGTGAAGGGATGAAGGTCTTCATTGAACAATTCTGAGAAATGGCTTAAAGAATACAGAAAGAGCAGGGAAAGAAGAGGGGAAAAAAACCAACAACACTACAGAGTAAGTCAATTAACCCTCTTTGACCTCAGCTTCTTCATATAAAAGAAAGATAAGACGAGCTGTCTAAGCTTCCTTTCTACTCATAAGTGGATAATTCTAAATTATCCTTCATCTTTCTCCATGCCCACTGCCTCCACCCTAGTTGGAACCACTTTCATCTCTCTCTGGGAGTATTCCAATAACCAGCTAACCAGTCTCCATGCTGTAGCCAGAATGATTTCTAAAATGTGAATCTGCTTAAGTCACACTGCTGCTTAAACATCTCTCAACAGAGGGGAAAGTCCTTAACTTGATAAAATAAAATATCTACCAAAAGACCACTACAGCTAATATCACACTTAGTGAAAAATTTGAAGTTTTCCTGCTGAGATCAGAAACAAAGAAAAAATGTTCCCACCATGGCTTTTCAACATTGCACTGGAAGTTTGAGCTAACCCTAGGACTTAGCCTTAGGAAATAAAAAGGTATACAGACTGAGAAGGAAGAAATAAACTTTGTTCACAAATGGCAATCATCTATGTAGAAAATCTGAAAGAATCAACAAAAAAACTCCTGGAATCGATAAGTGATTATAGTGGTGTTGCAGGATTCAAGCTTAATACACAAAAGTCAATTGCTTTCCTATATAATAGAAATGAAAAAAATAAAAAAGAAAGTAAAATTAAAAACACAATATTGACTGGGCTCGGTGGTTCAACCTGTAATCCCAGTACTTTGGGAGGCCGAGGTGAGTGGATTGCCTGAGCCTGCAGGTTCGAGACCAGCCTGGACAACTTGGTGAGACTTCATCTCTTCAATAAATTAAAAATTAGCCAGGCATGGTAGTGCGTGTCTGTAGTTCCAGCTACTTGGAAGGCTGAGGCAGAAGGATCACCGGAGCCCAGCAGGTCAAGGCTGGGATGGTTATGAGTGTACTACTGCACTTCAGCCTGGACAACGGAGTGAGACTCCAACTCAAATAAAATAAAAATAAATAAAAAATAAAAACACAATAATGGCCAGATGTAGTGGCTCATGCCTGTGATTTCAGCACTTTGGGAGGCTGAGGTGGGAGGATCACTTGAGCCCAGGAGTTTAAGACCATAATAGCAAGCGTACGTAGCAAGTTCTTGTCTCTACAAAAATCGAGAAATTAGCCGGGTGTGGTGGTGTGCACCTGTAGTACCAGTTACTTGGGAGGTTGAGGTGGAAGAATCACCTGAGCCCAGGAGGTGGATGCTGAGGTAAGCCGTGATTGTGCCACTGCACTCCAGCCTGGGTAACAGAGTGAGATCCCAACTTAAACACACAAACACACACACTCACATGCACACACACAATAACATTTACATTAGCATTCTAACAAATGATATACTTAGGTATAAACCTAACAAAATATGTACAAAGTCTATGTGAGGAAAATTATAAAATTCTAATTAAAGAAATCAGAGAACTTAAAAAAAATGGAGAGATATTCCATGTTCATAGACTGGAAGACTCAAAAAGAATTCGATTGATCTGGAGATTTAATGCAATCCCAATCAAAATTCCAGCGAGTTATTCTGTGGATATTGACACAAGATGATTCTAAAGTTTATATGAAGACACAAAAGAACCAAAACAGCCAAAACAGTATTGAAGAAGAACAAAGTTGGAAGGCTGACACTACCCAACTTCAAGATTTACGATAAAGTTACAATAATTAAGTTTGGTATTAGAAAAAAATAGATTAATGGAAT